ACATTCCAAAACGGGACATAATTAAACAACAAACAACAATAACCCGTAAAAGAATACAGAATACCGTAGCTAATTCAAGAGACGTGGGTTGTATTCCACTCACGTAGTTTGTAACTAACGGCTTCGTCGTAGCCAGCATGTGACACCTAGCGTTAGGTGCCGTGAAAAATGGTCCATTTTCCGACGCAAGGATAAATTTATCTTCGTGGGACTATTGCGACGCCTCTGTTATTTGAGTGTTAATATTCATTGCGAAACAACTTCTTGATTTCTTATGAACTGTAATCTTACATTAAAAGTTGTGCTGTGTATACTTTACACCCTTTTATTTTTTATACAAATGAACATTATTTTGTTATATTCTAAACGTCTTATTCTAGAGATACTCTGAACATGAATATCATGGATTTTATAAAGCGTGAGCTAGAAAAATTATGAGTAAAAACATAATTCATTATCCACAATAAACAATGATTGCTTAGTTTAGAAAAGTAATTTATCAGATTTTTTTTGCCTTTTTCCTACCCCGTTACCTACACCAGAAAATTTGAATATTTTTCGTTTTGTAGCTAAAGTGAAACTTAATAATTCTATTAATTGGACTTCTTACAGTTTTCTTATATGGAATGTAAATAGCTATACCAGTGGCTGAATCTGTTTTTGGACTATCTGTGTATATTTTTTTAAACTCTGACCATTTATGTAGCTCTCTATATATACATCTTGTTTAGTATGCATTTTTTTTTCTATAGAGATTTGAATTTCAGGGAATTTATAGTCATAGGTGCCCCAATAACAGGGGCAGTTAATATATTTTTTAATAGTATGAAAATAATTGTCATGTAGGTTATTTATATTTAAAGAAATAAAGGGTCTTTCTATGTTGTTCCGAAAGTTGAGAATTTTCACAAGTTATATATTATTGCACAAAGAAAATAATTTTAAAATTTGTTTGTCCCTCAAATATTGGAATTGAAATTTGAGAGGCTCAATGTTGCATTAGATTTGTATGTAATTAACCATATTCAAATTTGCTTCGGACCAGTGGTTTATATAGTATTTTTAAGATTTTTGGGTCAGAACCCCATGAAGTTTTTGCTAAAGTTCTTAATATATTATATGCTTTATTAGCTTTGTCCATTATAGTTGTGAATATTTGACTTAGGGGAAGTTTGGCACCATTCGTACACGGGGAACCTGCATACAGTCACTACTACATCTTGTAGAGAAGTCTATTTATTACGACTTTGTGTCAGTGGATAAGCGCCAGCGACTGCCAGTTGTCCACGAAGTTAGCCACACATGCAGCCACTGCGAGCGAAACTAGAGAACTTAAAGTGTTTTGGCATGCTCTTAGTAAATACTTTGTTAATGTTTTTGGATCTTCCGTGGTTTAATTACACGTCAAATTTTACTGGATTATTGCTTAATCGTAAGTGAATACGATTAAGATTATAATAATATATCTATTATGCGTATTTTTCTACGTGGGTTTAGTGTTAGAAAAAATAATTTGATTCTTGATCTTCGGGGCACGTTCTTACATTTCCAGCAAGGGCACATTCGTACGCGTATGTATGTACCCCCTAACCCCCTGTGTGCTAACAATTTTTATTATTATATCAGAAAATTAAGAAAAAATTATCGGCATTTTAAGAAGAAAAGGCAGACACGTTCCCAATATCCATTAAATGAGTTATTTTGCGTCTGTACAAGGTGTTTTTATATAATAAAAAACAAATAGTTTTACTAAAAAGAATAATCAATTGAAAAAGTTCAAAAACACATTTCGGAATCACGATATTGGAAGTCACAACACTATCAAATGATTATGATAAAGTTTTGAAATATAAATGTTTAACATAATTGTTATGAAACTGGCTTCGCTGATATAGAATGGATGCACGGTTTTCGTAAAAAAGATAGTTAGACTCTAAACAACATATAGGCATATGTCTTTTATTACATCGTTGATAAGTTTGAGATCAATGAAAACGATATTTTTTAATTAATTCGTTATTTTACTTAATATATATGAAGTTACCACACTGTCTGAATGTTCCCCGGCCCATGTACGATTGTACCCCGTAATAGGGGTAGATTCGGACATTCATAAGCTTTTAGTAAAATTCAATCCTTTGATATATTATAAAAGATATCGGCTTTGAACTTTTTAAATAAGGAGCAGAAAGTATGCTTTATGTTTTAATAAGTAATTGAGTAATTTATCTTTGATTACCAATATTTTAAAAATCATTGACTAAAAAGTGTACGAATGGTGCCAATCTTCCCCTAAATGATAAGTTACTACTAAATTCTATTCGTAAAAATTTAACACTAGTTACTATAGGTAAAATAGAGCTACCAAAAGCTATATTTATGTTGTCTAAAGGATAATATTTATTAAAAATTACCACTTTACTTTTTTTCGGACTAATTGTCAATTGTAGCTTATCAAAGTAGATTTTTAGTCTTGTAGTGGCTTGATTCAATTTTTTCTGCAGATTCTTGTATGTTGTTTGAGTAACAGTAAATCGCTAAATCGTCAGCAAACTGTAAATTGGTAACACTAGATCCAAAAACAATATTAAGTCTTCTAATATACAAAATGAACAACAGAGGGCTTAAAATACTTCCTTGACAACTACCTTTAAATGAGTATTTTGGGCCATATAACTTAGAATTATGTTTAACATATACTTTTCTGCCATTTATTAAATTAAATATCCAATTTATTATTTTTCCAGGTAACCCAATGGAATTTAGTTCAGAGCATAAAATTTGATGATTAATGTTATTAAAAGCTCCAACTACTCGTATATCGAAAAATACACAGACTAGTACTTTGTCATCAGAAAAGGCATTGAGGATATCTAAATGGAGATGACATATACTATCACGAGTAGATTTCCCTCTCCTGACGCCGAATTGATCGTCAGGTAAAATTCCATATTTTTCTATATTAAACTCTAGTCTCAGTTTAATCAATTGTTCAAATATCTTTCCTACACATGAAGATAGAACTATAGGTTGATATGAGTCTACTAAGCCTGGTTTCTTATTTGGTTTTATAATGGGGTTGATACAGTCAGTTTTCCAAGATTCAGGGATTTCATTCTGCAACCATAGTGTATTTAGAATGCTTAGAAAATATTGAGTGAGCTGTCATTTAGTTCCTTTAACATATGATACGATATCCAGTCAACAAGCCACAAGCAGTGTCTTTACGTGATTTCAAGGCACATTTAAGTTCTTGCAAGGAGAATGTGTCTGTAATGTACTTATTAGTTTCATTTAAGCTTTATATCCAAGTAGAAGGAATGGAGAGCGATCTGAATCATTGGCTTGATTATATTTGTTTAAAAAGAGTGTAATCCACTCATCTGTAATGCCTAAATTGTTAGTGAAATAACTATTAAATTTTCTCATATAATTCCAGATGAACTTAATTGGAGTATTTCTATTTAAGATTCACAAAGCATTTGCCAAGCCTTTTTTGTTCAAGCTTAAGAACAACCTTTTTACAAGCTTGCAGGCTCTTGAAATTGATGTAATTTCATTTGTACAATTTTCTTTGAATGAAATCTATGCCTGCTTAGAAGACTGCACTGTTCCTTACATATGCTATTCCACCAAGGGACTGTTAATTTCCGTTTTTTTTTTTATTATTAAGAAACACCTTGCTACTGTTTTTGGGCATTATTTTTTGAGGACTAGACTCTGCAATTATTTCATTTAAAACATCACAGAAACAATTATATGAGTAAATTGCGCTATTGCTTGATATATAAGATTGTAATTTTTTATTGACTAATGTTGAATATTTTTTCCTGTCTATTACTTTGAGATTGTAACGGGTAGTTATGTTAGAATTATTGAAGCAATGGTTGAAATTCTATTTCAGTTGTTACAGGGAGGTGATAGCTTCCATGAAGATCATCATGAACATTCCAATTACAAGACAGAGCAATGGAAGAAGACAATAGAGTGAGGTCTATTGCACTTGGACTCCAGCTAGCTGAGCCTACTGTTGTCATCCTACCATCACGTAATAATAAAAATTCATTGTTTTCAACTACGTCGCAAATGTCCCTACCACGAGTATCAATGAAATTGCATCCCCACAATGTATTGTGAGCATTTAAATCACCTGCAATCAGCATCGGTTCAGGAATATGTTTAATTAAGTTATTTAATTTAACCTTAGAGAACCTAGGTGTACTATATGGAGGACAATACATACTTACTATTGATAGATCTGTATTATAAAACCTTATTCTAATGGCAATGTTATGAATAGAATTATCAAATGTAGTATTTAGACCTTGATGGGTAATATCATTTCTAATGACAATTGCAACACCATTGTGTCTATTACCTGAGTCCAATTTAACAACTGTATAGCCTTTTATAGTAAATTTTAATTCTGGTCTTAACCATGTTTCCAACAAAAGAGCAATATGAACATTTTGTTCATATAGAAAATGAATAAGACAATTTTTATTACATAAAACACCCTGAGCATTCCCCTGAATAACCTTTAAAGCCTTTATTTAGTATTATAAGATGAAATAACTTCTTTTAGAGCCTCTTTAATATTGCTAGAATTAGCTAAATTATTTGTCTTAATTTTAATTAAACTTTGTACAAGAATATTTACAATATGATAATTTTCTAATAATTTTATTAAATCTTGTTTGAAATCATTAGTTTTTTTATTTGGTAATGATGGAAATTGTTTTGTATTTACTATATCAAAATAAGTTACTGGATTGTTGATCTTTTTTTGTTTTAAATCATTTTTTGCTTCTTAATGGGACATATTTTATCAATAGCAATATGACTGCCTTTACAATGAAAGCAATATAAGACTGGACTTGTACATTCCCTGTAATTGTGATTGTCACCACATTTTGAGCAACGTGGTGCATTCTTGCAAAAAGCTGCTGTATAGCAATATATGTGACAAATAAAGCATTGTTTAATAGGTGGAATGTATTTCCTGACTGGAAAGAGAATGATGAATTTAACTCTACGATTCTGGTAAACTAGTAGACGCGAACGTTATTGAAATTATCTGGGTTGGCAACAGCGCCACGATACCGTCGTCACCATTTACGCATAAATCTGCGAATAAATATATATATATTTTTTTAACAAGTAAGATGTTTGTATAGTTTAAGATTGCTGTAATCAGTAGATACACTCGTTATAACACCAATTTGTTCAGATGCTGACGCTGTTATGGTCGCCTGTAATCTATGTTGCTTGAAAAAATCTTTATTTTGAAGTGCTGCATTAGCCATGGCCAGTTTATCAAAAATAATCCCAAATTTATATTTATTCTTTTAAATTGTTTAATACCCTTTATATTTCTTTGGAATATATTCGATAGAGACATTAAATTTCTATTGCCTATTGGTTTTGTATCATCAGTGCTCGATATGAAAACTATGAACTCAGCATCGCCTGCATTTTCAGAATATGACCGAACGTAATTTGGTAGTAAAAAAGGTTTATACTTAGACGCAGATTCTTGGTCTATGTCATCGAACGTAGAATGATGTTTCGAAGATGACGAGCTGGAGGAGGACGCGGCGTCATCATCACCTGGATTGTCTGCATCTTCACCCGGTTTACGTTTCCGCTTCTTAGATTTTACACTACCCATTAAAAAAATAGTAGTAAGTCGTAAACTTTTAGCAATTAAGATAATTTAAAGAAAATTAAAATAATTTTCAACAAAAGGCGCCTTTCCGTTTTAAGGTTCCCGCGCGAAAAAAACTTGTTTGTTTCTTTTGAATATTGGCTACGCACGGTTTGTGCATTTAGCCAGTGTCAAGTTTTATATGTTTAGCATAGATTTCTATTTATATATTTGTGATGTTAACTGTGGTCTTACTGAATGTGAAATGATTTTCAATTTCAGTAATTTCATATTCTTACAGGAAAATAAGTGATTTTGAGTGATAAGTACAATGCAATGCAATATACAAATGTGCTATCATTCTATATTTAACGAAAGTTTTGTAGCAGTAATCTGAATAAAAAATTTCATCATAAAGTTAAAAAATATATAAATCTGATATTGCTGGTTCAAAGAACTTTTGTATATTTTAGTGGAGGCTTAATAAATCTTAAATAATTTCTAATTGAAATTTATTACGGTCTAATAATTTCGACCACTGGGCGACCACAAGTATTTATAATATTGCTTAAACTAATTATGACAAAACAAATATTTTGAGTATTTATACTCGATGTCATGTGACCGCAAACAGCGCTTGACGTCACGGCTCTCTTACTCGTGTCAGAACTTAGAGTATTTAACCTTATTCATACATAAAATGATATTTGTTTCAGAGTACCGTGACAGAAGTGGTGTTTTCGCGGGAAATTTTGAGGATTAAATTTATTTTTAGATTTTAACTAATTATATGAATGATATATTGTAAAATATTTTTAGTCATATATATCTACTGCAGCCAAGTGGTATAATTAGATGAGCAATTGGGCAGCCCTTTGCCCTTTAATTCATTTGGCGCTATTCAATTGGCGCTCTGACTTTAGATCAGCCGAGTAGCTGAATGCATAGTTCTACAATATGAGTGAACAAAGGTTAGCCAACTAATAAACTGTCTATTCATCGGGGTACCAAAATTTAATGGTAGAAGTAAAATAAAATAAATATCGTAGTCGGTGATATAAAACAAAAAAACTTGTTACGATCTACAATCGATATAGATAAAGGACTGATCAAAAAGAGAATTCCAAACTGCTTATTTGCAACTTGAAGTTAATGGTCCGTATGATCTAATACAGGAAGCTTATAATAAATTTATACAAATATAAGGTACCGGGATTAAAGCAGCTACAGTGCCATCTATCCAAAATAAGAGTAAGTAATGTATTTGATCGTAATTGTTTAGTATATTTATTATGATTTCGAAACATGATAAACAACGAAGTTATTTTGGTCCTGTAGGACACGTGATAGGTTAGAACTTTAAGATGACCGCAAAGCATAACATAACGATCGTCTTAAATTTGCGTTTATTTTTAACAGATAAGAGAATTATATGAACGTTTTGCGGAATTTTGCCATAAAACTAAATAAAGGTTTTGCTGCTTTTAGATCAGCCGTCTTGTTGAACGGTTCAAATTTCATAATGATTCAACTAGAAAACTAGGCGTGCAATTGAATGATACAATTCAATTAAACGGCTCGCCGCCCAATTGGCTGCGACCTTAAAATAAAAATATAAAAAAGTTGGCTACACACTTATAATTTCATATAAAGCCGCAGTAAATTGTTATAATAATGAGGCTTTCAGTAAACACTGTAAAAGAGCAAGCAGTTTTGCATGTTATTTAATAATTCAGGGCATGCACGCGACGATCCGTCAATTGACATATTGGCAGTCGTCAGCCGCACTCAGCCGTTATTGGCTTGTGACTGATATGCTACTCTGAGGTCATCAACAATATTTAATACTGCCATTGTTTCATTTAAAATGAACTGGTTCAATGATAAAAATACTTTTTGGTTGATCATTTATGACAGATAAATATTGCTGATGGGACGGCTGTTAGGGGGCGAGTTAAAAAAAATTATAAGATTAATATCGCGTAATAATTGTATACTACATAAGTATTACTTAGTAACTAATTATCTACATTTGGTTGACGAGTATTTTTGGAATGTAAAAATGACATTTTTGCGTGTGTTTGATAAAGCTGTCCTACGCTGTTCACGCGTCGCCCGCGAGGTGCAAGCTTGCACACTGCGAGTTACAAACAATTGTTATCAGCGTCTATACACCTGTTACCTGCCTATTGCCTATGTTTACGTAACAATCGGATCTCGATAGAATCTCAACTACTTGTGTTTTGCCATTGATATTTGAAGAATACATTGCACAAATAACATTGGTATTTATGTAAGTAGATAGTACAATGACAGAATTGGCCTAATGAAACTTGCCATCAGCGGGCTGTAAGCATGCGAATCAGTACCTTACAACTTGGAGTCTGTGTGCCACTGGGTATTTTATATGACATACGATAATGGCCAAAAAATTAGACTGACAAATCATTCGCGAATTCGGTGTCTTGTTGCATAAATATAACTCGTACGAATTAATTCCCTCCGAATTAATATGACATCATTAACTCTTGCTCGTATTCGTATTCTATTAGTCCTCGAATGAAAATTCGGAGAATTTCTAACCATCTGTAGATCAGCGGCAATGACAGTTCCACCGTACCAGCATTTCGAAAATAGACGAAATTTCGTTTTTGGAGAAATGTAATAGCCGATCAGGTGACATGTTAAGTGGTACGAGTAGTAGGCCCTCTAGATCCCACTACCGCAGTATTCTATAAAAATATAGATATAAATAGCCCTGTCAGAGCATTGATACTCGATTGAATGAAACGAACTATTTGATATGAGAGTTCAACGCTGATTTTATCACAGCATAGTAAAGCTGATACTGTTTTGAAGTCAGACGTTTACTTTAAACCGTGTCATATTTTTATTTTGCAGTTTCTTTTTAGTTCAATAGTCCACCCTTTAAAGAAGTGTCGTGGAGAATAAAATGAAGGAAATGCCACAGAACATAAACATGTTCTGAAAGCTGATATAAGGATCATTATAAATAATTGCATGTGTGTTCCCTGCATACAGTAAAAGGATTACATAATAGACAACTAATTTTCATTATTAACTTATTTACATTGGTAAATAAACTGATGACAGCCAATGACCTGAAATATATTATAGAGAATCCGAAACAACGAAGGTACCACAACACCCAGACTAGATACAACATAGAAAAGTTCAGTGATCTACACCCCTTAACGAACCAGTATGCGAACCACTCAGAACCACCAACGATAATAAATAGCGAAGGTTGAAAATTACGTGTTCGATATCGTTACATAACAATTGTAATATTCAATATGGGAATTTGTAGACACTATTCTCACTTAACGAGAAGCGAATAAACAATCAGTCATTCGATTAAATTTATAATGAGTTTATAAGTACGCTGTGCAAAGAAAACAAAGCGCGACTGTGCAACGAGCGATATCGCCAGTCTGTGATTTCAGCGGTCACTTGAAACAACACGATACATATATTCCGTAAAGTAACGTCACATTTACATAATATTATAATGTGCGTAGATTTCGATAACCACTGTTATGCTTGTAAATTAACGTATGCTTTTTGATGGCATACGTTAGAGTAACGTATCACGGAACCCGGACAGAGGTACGGGGATTATTCATACGGCTTATGTTAGGATCGCTTTATGAATAACCAACAGGCGGAATTGATTTTAAATGGACTTACCGAATGTTGACTTTGATGGTTAATTTTATGCTTACGAGTTTACTATTTGAATATTAAGGGTGTTGTAAATATACAAGTTCCTCTTGAACCATTCTATATGTTGTCGAAAACCGCATTGAAATCCATTGTGTAGTTTAAGAGATCTCTGCCTACTGACAGCAGGAAGAAACTTTATTTTTAGTAGTGTGGGAAAAAAGGTTATATTTGAATAGAAATGCAATTACATTGCGGAATTTGATTGGAATAATTGTAAAATATCAATATATTTAGTTATTTCATGCTAGAGAATTGATGTATTCTTTAATTTTCTATCAATGTGATACTGCTTTACAAATTCTCTGTTTATCCTTATTGGTTGACTGGTAGAGAATGCCTTCGGCATTAAGTCCGCCATTTGCTTTGATTGGCAATAAAGTATAAATAAAAAAATAATAATACATGAAAGTACAAACGGAACCAAATCTCCCAATCCAGCACGAATTAAACTACATGTGCCTCGTACCTACATGGAACATCGCCTGCCTGCACGCGTAGCGCGACATACTCGAGAAACGTTTTGTCTACCAACCGTCACTTCTTGGGTTGAGATTGAATTGTCGTATGGATACCGGAGAAATGTGACCTTCGCATGTAGATAAAACATTATCGAGTTTGTCATTTCACACGAGCTGGTGATGTTAGTGGGCGTGGGTCCGCAATCTACAATACGATGACCTTCCACAAATTCTTCTAATTGTTGAAGGTGTTGAGAGGACGCAATCGTCAAATCTGTCAATCGGTTTTGTGGCAATAATGATATCCAAATAAGCTGTAATTAAAAAAGAGAAAAATCATATTTCTATAGTTTTTGGGGAGGCAGTGTGTAAATAGTTAAGACCTCACATGGGAGTATGCAGTTAGTTATGAATTTAAAGAAAAAAAACTGTAGATAAAATATCTTGGGACAACACCCGGTAGAAGAATATACAGTTAAAAGTACATACCAACTTATATACACCACCACCAATACAAGTGACTGCCGCACTGTCCACAAATTTAGATAATATTTTCTCCTTATGCCCAGTCTCAACTTAGAGGGTAAATTAAAATTAGTTTATTCTTTTTTAGAATGTGATGAAGAGGTGAAGTGAGCTAAGATTGCCAATAGTTAATAGTGTAATATTAAAACTATGAACTTAATACTGATCAACAAAATAAGAACGTGGAAATCATTTCCTTGACGTAAAAATTGCGTTATATAAATTAAACAGAATAAATGAAATTTATTCAACAATATTGGCAAAAATATATTTGATTTCTCAAAAGCAGAATATAATAAAGTTCTAAATATATAAACTCAGTGCATCAGATGGTAACATCTCATCGCGGTAAGTGTAGTTCGTATTTCCACCGCTGGGGGCGCTGCCATGACAAATGACATGCGGGAGCTACG